GCATGTGGTGGGGACGGCAGAGGGCCAGAGAGAGAGAGAAGGAGGGAGAGAGGGAGGGAAGGAGAGAGAATCCCAAGCAGGCTCTATGCTGTTAACACAGAACTGGTTGTGCGGCTCAGTCTCATGAACTGTGAGATCATGACATGAGCAAAAATCAAGAGTTGGACACTTAATAGACTGAGTTACCCAAGTGCCCCTCATTTTTTTTTTCTTGTGATGAGACCTTTTAGGATTTACTATTAGCAACTTTAAAATATGTAATAGTAGTCCATAATATAGTCCATGCCATATATTACATCCTCATGACTTATTTATTGTAGAACTGGAAGTTTGTAATCCTTCACTTATTTTGCTCACATCCCACCCCCTGCCTTTGGTAACCACTAAGCTGTTCTTTGTATCTGTGAGTTGGGTTTTTGTTTTTTAGGTTCCACATACAAGTGAGACCATATGGTATTTGTCTTTCTCTCTCTGACTTATTTCACAAGCATAATACCCTCCTGGTCCATCCATGTGTCACAAATGGCAAGATTTCATTCTTTTTTATGGCTGAATTATATTGCATTATATTCACATATATATATCACATTTTCTTTATCCATTCATCCATCAGTGGACATTTAGGTTGTTATCTTGTATGCTGCAGTGAATATATGAATGCATACATCTTTTTGAATTAATGTTTTTGTTTTCTTTGGATAAATACCCAGAAGTGGAATTGCTGAATCCTATGGGAGTTGTATTTTTAAGTCTTTGAGGAGCCTCCATACTGTTTTCCATAGTGGTTTCACTAATTCACATTCCCACCAACAGTATATGAGGGTTCCGTTTTCTCCATATCCTTGCCACCACTTGTTATTTATTGTCTTTTTGATAATAGCCATCCTAGCAGGGCTGAGATGATATCTCATTATGGCTTCAGTTTCCATTTCCCTGATGATTACTGATGTTGAGCATCCTTTGGTATACCTGTTGGCCATTTGTGTGCCTTCCCTGAAAAATATCTATTCAGATCTTCTGCCCATATTTCAATCAGATTTTTTAAACTATTGAATTGTATGAGTTCTTTATAGATCTTGTATATTAACCTCTTATCAGATACATGATTTGGAAATCTTTTTTCCCATTCAGTAGGTGGCCTTTTCATTTTGTTGACAGTTTCATTTGCTGTGTGGAAACTTTTTAGTTTGAGATAGTCCCATTTGTTTATTTTTGCTTTTGTTGCTTTTGCTGTTAGTGTCAGATTCAAAAAGTCATTGTCAAGCATTATGTTAAGGAGCTTTAGGTCTATGTTTTCTTCTAGGAGTTTTATGTTTTCAGGTCTTATGTTCAAGTCTTTAACCCATTTTGAGTCAGTTTTTTTGTTTTGTTTTTAAAAATTTTTTAGATGTTTTATTTATTTCTGAGAGAGAGAGAGAGAGAGAGAGAGAGACAGCATGAGCAGGGAAGGGTCAGAGAGAGAGGGAGACACAGGATCTGAAGCAGGCTCCAGGCTCTGAGCTGGCAGTCAGCACAGAACCTGACGTGGGGCTTGAACCCACAAACTGTGAGATCATGACCTGAGCCGAAGTCGGACGTTTAACCGACTGAACCACCCAGGAGCCCCTTGAGTCAGATTTTGTGTATGATATGAAATAGGGTCCAGTTTCATTCTTTTGCATGTGGCTGTCCAGTTTTCCAAACACTATTTGTTGAGAGGACAAATAGTCCTTTCCCCGCTTTGTATTCTTGGCTCATTCGTTGTAAATTAATTGCCCAAATGTGCGTGGGTTTATTTCTGGACTCTCTGTTGGCTACCATTGATCTATGTGTCTGTTTTTATGGCAATGCCATACTGTTTTGATTACTAAAGTTTTGTAATATAGTAGTATAATCAGAGACTGTGATACCTTCAGCTTTGTTCTTCTTCCTCAAGATTGCTTTGGGTATTCTGGGTCTTTTGTGGTTCCAGATAAATTTTAGTGTAGTTTGTTCTATTTCTATGAAAAAATGCCGTTGGAATTTTGATAGGGAGTGCATTGAATCTGTAGAGTGCTTTGGGTAATATGGAAATTTTAACACTATTCTTCCAATTCATATCATAGAATATCTTTCCATTTATTTGTGTCTTCAGTTTATTCTTTAGTGTCTTATAATTTTCAGTGTATAGGTCTTTTACCTCCTTGGTTAAATTTATTCTTAGCTATTTTATTTTTGATGCACTTATAAGTGGGATTTTCTTAATTTCTCTTTCTGATTATTCATTATTAGCGCATTAAAACATAACAGATTTTTGCATGCTGATTTTGTATCCTGCAGCTTTACTGAATTTGTTTATTCTAACAGTTTTTTGCTGGATTGTTTAGGGTTTTCTATATATAATACGTTTTCTGCAAATGGTGGCAATTTTACTTCTTCTTTTCCAATTTGGATGCCTTTTATCTCTTGCCTCATTGGTCTTGCCTGGGGTTCCAGTACTGTGTTGAATAAGGAGGTGAGAGTGGGCATCCTCGTTCTGTTCCTAATCTTAGAGGAAATGTTTTCAGCCTTTCACCATGGAGTATGATGTTAGCTGGGGGCTTGTTGTCACTGGCCTTTGTTAAGCTGAGGTATGTTCCCTTGTACCTACTTTTTTTGAGAGTTTTTAATCAGTAATGGGTGTTGAATTTTGTCAAATGCTTTTTCTGCACGGTTGAGATGGTCTGATTTTTATCCCTCGTTTTGTTATTATAATGTAAGAAACCAACATTAAAAAAAGATTTTAGGGGTGCCTGTGTGGCTCGGTTGGTGAAGCCTGCAGTTCTTGATTTTGGCTCTGGTCATGATTTTGCAGTTCATGAAGTTGAGCCCTGTGAGATCTGACAGCGTAGAGCCTGCTCAGGATTCTCTCTGTCTCTCTCTGCCCCTCCCCTACTTGAGCATGAGCACATGCTCTCTCAAAAATAAATAAACTTAAAAAAAAAATAAGATTTTATTTTTAAGTAATATTTACCCCCAACATGGGGCTCAAACTTACAACCCCAAGATCAAGAGTCTCAGCTCTACCCACTGAGCCAGCCAGGTGCCCCCGAAATCTGCCTTTTTGAAACGGTATTTTTACAGGTATGCCTCTGACCATACTTTAGAAATGTTGAATTAGGAAAAGAAGACTGAAAAGGAGAAAAACAACAGAATTATAAAAAGTACTGACTCCATAAAGAGTCAAGAAAGGAGAGAAAAAGAAATAGAACAGGTAGGAAAAATAGGCATAGAAGATGATAAAATTAAATCTAAATACATAGGTTATATTAAATGCAAAAAGAAAAAATCAACTATATGTTGTTTAGAGAAATAGTATAGAATGTAAATTGAAAGTAGAAGAATGGAATAAGATGTACCTGTGAATACTTAAAAAAAAAAATCTGTGGGGTGCCTGGGTGGCTCAACCGGTTGAGCCTCTGACTCTTGATTTAGGCTCAGGTCTGTGGGATCGAGCCCCATGTCAGGCTCTGTGCTGAGAATGGAGCCTGCTTAAGATTCTGTCTCTCTTCCTCTGCCCCTCTCTCCAGCTCGTGTTCTCTCAAATAAAATTAAAAATTAAAAAAAACAAAACTGTGGCTATACTATGAGGCATGAGTCCAAATACATTTTAAAGAAAATGAAGACAAGGCTGTGTAGCAACAGTTTCCATGCAAAGAGGAAACAAGCACAGAGCAGGGAGGGGATGGTCACAGACTGAGTCCAAAACAGATGCAAACAGTGATGACCCGAATCTTCCTGCTGCTTCTATACAGGTTTTGCACATGCAGATGGCTTCTCCTTGGTGATTCACTTCTGGGTGGGACTTCTCCCCTGGTACCTGCAGCTATGGTCTAGGATTTTAGTCTGATATAGAGTTCCCAGAAATTGAAGAGAAAGCAGCCCACTGAGTGCAGTGACCCCCACATGCTCTAACAGTCTGCCTGGTGGGCTGAGCTGGTACAAGTAGGGTGGGGAAGGGTATCAGGAAGCCTTGAACCCCCTTGATCCCACTGACTGGGAGCGTGTTTGGTTAGCCAGATCAAATCAGCAGCTGGACATTGAATCCCTAACCGCAAAGTACCCTGTAGGACTGTGAGCGGACAGTGTAATAATTGTCATGGTATTTGCCTTCAGGGCGCTCAACATCTAGACAAGGGGCAGTTTACTGTAACTGAAATAAAACTTTGGAAATCAGGCAGACATAGAGAGCTTATCTGGTTGATTCTGACCAGCTGCCATTTTAGCTGTGGCCTGGGCACTGAGGGCTAATGATGCCTGTGTGTGTGGGTGGTGTAAATAGTAGTTACAAGTAAGGGTGGTTAGTTTGCTCTGCCACCTTTGCTATCTAAGATAGCACCTTTGTCACATAGTCATCATCCTAACTCTTACCCTCTTTGGATTTTTTTCTCCGTACTTAATACCAGTTGTTATTTTAATATATGTCTGTTTGCTTCTGATCTGTCATCCTATCTAGAGTGTAAGTGCCACGTGGGCAAGAACTTTGTTTTGTTCCCTTCGTCCCCAGTGCCTGGAATGGTGCTAGGCTCTGTGGAAGGAAAAAGGACTTTGAGAGTTGACTTGTGGCAGGTACTCTGCTAAGCATTTTATTTTATTTAAAAAATTTTTAAAAATACTTATTTTTGAGAGAAAGAGGTGTACAGTACAAGTTAGGGAGAGACAGAGAGACACAGAATCTGAAGCAGCCTCCAGGCTTCGAGCTGTCAGCACAGAGCCTATTGTGGGGCTTGAACTCACTAACCATGAGGTCATGACCTGAGCTGAAGTCAGACGTTTAACTGAGCCACCCAGGCACCCCTCTGCTAAGCATTTTATATACGTGATCTCATTTTATCCAAACAACTTTTGAAGTAGCTACCCCCAAAATGAGGAAATGGATATCAGTGAGATTAAGGAAATGACCCGAGGTTGTATAATCTGTTAAGCGGCGGAGCCTGAATTTGGATCCTGGCCTGACTAACTGTGGAATTCAACTGTTCCCTTTTGCTGCTTTCCTTCCACAGGGTCTGGAGACATGGCCCGAAGGGCTCTCAAGCTTGCTTCGTGGACCAGCATGGCTCTCGCTGCCTCTGGCTTCTATCTCTACAGCAACAAGTACTTGGATCCTAATGATTTTGGTGCCGTCAGGGTGGGCAGAGCAGTTGCAACGGTAGGTTTTTCTCATTGTCAGGGTGGCAGAGGGACTGGTGTATCACCTGCAGGTGTTCGTACATGTAACAGATGTACATGCCAGCCACACGTGTGGAGCTGCAGGTGTGCCCTTCTGTGTGCAAAGCTCCCTCGACACGCTAACACAGGTGTGCACCCTCATGCACCTATATTCCCGTATACACAATCTCTGTCCTACTGAGCTGGAACAGAATGGGATTGTACAGGGTCTCTGTTCTGAAGCCTTTACAGGGTAGGTTCTGTGTATAATTTTAGTGACAGGCCTGGACCGGTGCTCCTCAGCAAATGTATGTGGAAAGACTATGCAGCTTTGATTAAACTCTACCAGAAAACTTGAGTTTCTCTCCAGTGAGCTGGTGGGAGTGGCTCCTGATGCAGGGCTCATACTCAGAGCATCTGGGCCTTGGAGAACTGTAGGGATCCTCTCGAACCCTCTAACAGAATCCGAGGGGCTCCTGGGTGGCTCAGTCGGTTGAGTGTCTGACTTTGGCTCAGGCCCTGATCTCATGGTTCATGAGTTTGAGCCCCGCATCGGACTTGCTTCTATCAGTGCAGAGCCCACTTTGGATCCTCTGTCCCCCTGCCTCTCTCTGCCCCTCCCCCCACTCACACTGTGTCAAAAATAAATAAACATTAAAAAAGAGAGAGAGTCTGAGTTGAATATTTCACTATTAGAGATTTTCTCCAGTGGTGCAGGAACATCCTCCCTGTGTGATCGTGTCCTCTTAACTCTGCTGGAAGGAGCTCTCCCAGACGTGCATATATAACTGCCCCATGGGTGGGTCGGTTGCTACATGCTTCATGTTTTCTTGCCTCCTTTGTCTGCTGCAGGATGAACTCTTCCTTTCTTCCCCCTGGCATAGATACACGCAAATGCACCGTCTGTTTGGGTTGTTGTCTAATCATTTCCTTAATACTTGGTGCTGTGAAGCCTTCTCCCTACCTAGTCATAGAATCTGACAGACAAATAGATAAGAGAGGTCTTTGAGAGGTCCCACCCACATCCAGCTTTGAGGGAACTGATGGTTGAGGAGTGCTCACGTGAATGGGTCAAAAACCAATGGGTTTGTTTTAAAGCCATGGGTTGGGTCAAGATGTGTGACTCAGTGACCACCGCTATGGGACCTTCGACCCGGAGTGAGACCCATAGGCTGGGAGTCAGGATGAGTGCCCTTGGGGAAGCAGGCTTTGATGGAACCTTAGGGGTTTGGATACAGTTGATCTTTAACAATGGGTTAGGGTGCCGACACCCATGCAGTCAGAAATCCACGTATAATGTTTACTCCCCCAGAGCGTAATAACTTAGCCTACTGTTGACTGGCCTTACAGATAATGTGAAGAGTCGATTCACACATTATTTGTATGCCATATGTATTATATACTGTATTCTTATAATAAACTAATCTAGAAAAAATGTTATTAAGAAAATCATAAGGACAGGATGCCTAGGTGGCTCAGTTGGTTAAGCGTCTGACTTGGCTCAGGCCATGATCTTAGGGTTTGTGGGTTCGAGCCCCTTGTCAGACTCTCTGATGTCAGTGCAGAGCCCACCTCGAATCCTCTGTCTCCCTCTCTCCCTGCCCCTCCCTCCACCTCTCTCTCGCACATGCATGTGGTCTCAAAAATAAATAAACATTAAAAAAAATCATAAGAGAAAATACATTTATAGTACCATACTGTAATTTACCAATAAAACCCCATGTGTAAGTGGACCTGCATAGTTCAAACCCATATTGTTCAAGGGCCAACTGTAGCTGGGAATGAGGGAGGAACGTATTTATCAGTAATTTATAAACTAGTCACTAGGCTGTGCATTCTTTAAAGGCCAGGGCTCTGATCTTGATCAGCCTTGTGCATTGTTCAGTGACCAACTCCTGCTCACAGTTGGCACTCACCATGTTTATGTCAAGTGGAATAAAGCTTTGAGAGTGTAGACAGGGGAGCAGACTCCTCTAGGTATCAGCCTTGTAAGCCCCTTACCTTCCAGGGCCCTCAGTTGCTCAGTCCTAAAAAGGAAGGTTTGGCCTAGGTAATCCTCAGGCCTCTTCCATGTCTGAGATATTCAGAAGCCTGTAATTTCCTGATTTCACCAAGAATATGGGGACTTATCCTGGACTTTTGGCCAAGGGGCCCAGAATCAAAACTTAGGCTGCTAGAGGAAACAAGTGTAAACTGATGTTTACTTGTGGTAATAAGTTTATCCAACAGCATTCATTCAACTAGTCTTTACTGAGCCTTTAGCTATGTGCCGGGCACTGTAAAAAGGTGCTGAGGCACGGTGATGAGCAGGAAGGACAAGCCTCTGTGTGTCTAGAGCTGGAATTCTAGCAAAGAGGAGATAGTCCAATACAAGGAAACAAATGAGCAAGGTAATTTCAGATATGATAATTTTCTTAGGATAAATAATTGAGAGTTCCTGGTGGGTGGGGCAGCCTTAGATTAGGGTTGCCACAGAGGCGGTATTTGTGCAGACCTCTGATGGACAGGAAGAAGCCAGCCAGGCTAAGATCTGGGGCCAGAGCATCGTAGGGGAGGGGTTGTTGATTGCTCTAGACACACCGCCTCTTTCAGGGGCCTGTGGCACAGGGCCGAGGTGGGGAGCAATATTCAATGTCCAGGTGCTAAACCTCTCTTTCCCTTGGTTCCCAGACAGCTGTCATCAGTTACGACTATCTCACCTCCCTGAGGAGTGTCCCTTATGGCTCAGAGGAGTACTTGCAGCTTCGATCCAAGGTAAGGAACCCATGGACCCATCTGAGTCAGGCCAGGACTGGGTAAGTCCTGAAGTACCTGCAAACCCAGTGAGCTTCTTGTGGGTCGCTGAAGTGGGGGCAGGAGCTGTGCAGAGATTGAGGCTGGGGGCTTGGAGGTAAGGGCCAGAGGATCTTTCCTCATTGGAGGTGTTTCTGTGCTGATGAGCCGGGCTGCCAGGCCAACATCAAGCTGGATCCTGTGATACTGAGGTTATTAATATACAAGGCACTGTTGGGGAGGCTGGTGTGTGTTTCTGGGGAGCACAAGGTGTCCGGGATGACTCAGGAGGGATGAAGGCTCTGTTCCTGAGATAACTCAGTTGGATTCCGAAGTGCTTTGTCAGGCAAAACCCAGTTGAAAGAGGTTAATTGCTTTCCTGTCCTTTCAAGGCTATACAGGGGTTCCTCTGGGTGGAGCTATTGACCCCACTCCCTGGCTCCTCACCTGGAACAGGTGAGATGAGTTGGGGCATCACACAAGAGGGCATTTTTTTGGATGTGAGTTGAGTTTGGGGTCAAGTGTAGATACTTTTGGTTCCTCCAGAGAGAGGTTTGTGATAGACCTGTATGTCTTTGCTCAGCCTGGAATGCCCTTGGCCCCTTAGAAAATCTCTAGTCATCCTTCTGGCCTCAGCTCAAATACCTCTCCTCCGTGACACTTTTCCTTCTCAATCATTCCTGGTGGATGGGGTAATCCATTTTAAAATTTTTATTTAAACTTTTCATCATACAAATTCCAACCATTAGCAAGAGTAGAGAGAATAGTATAATGAGCCCTATGGCACTGTCGTCCAACTTCAGACATTATCAACGTTTTGTCAGTCTTGTGTCATCTACTCTCCCATTCATTCATCCATTTATTTTTGCTGAAATATTTAATTTTTTTAATGTTTATTTTTGAGAGAGAGACAGAGAATGAATGGAGGAAGGGCAGAGATAGAGTAAGACACAAAATGTGAAGCAGGCTTCAGGCTCTGAGCTGTCAGCACAGAGTCTGACACGGGGTTCGAACTTATGAAGCATGAGATCATGACCTGAGCCAAAGTTGGCGCTTAACGCTTAACCATTGAGCCATCCAGGAGCCCCTTTACTGAAATATTTAAAAGTAAATCTCAGGCATCATATTATTTCATCTGAAACTACTTCACTTTGTCTCTCTAATAGTTAAGTACCTTAATAAAGCTACAATACCATACTCATAACTAACAAAATTTATAATATGTCTTTTAAAAAATGTTTTATTTATTTATTTATTAAAATTTTTTTTTTTGGTTTTTATTTATTTCTGAGAGAGAGACAGCATGAGTAGGGGAGGGTCAGCGAGAGAGGGAGACACAGAATCTGAAGCAGGCTCCAGGCTCTGAGCTGGCTGTCAGAACAGAGCCCAACGCAGGGCTCGAACCCACGAACTATGAGATCATGACCCGAACCGAAGTTGGACGCTTAACTGACTGAGTCACCCAGGCGCCCCAATAATATGTCTTTAATAATTTTTTAATTGAAAAAATTTTTTTAGTGTTTATTTTTTGAGAGAGAGAAACAGAGTGTGAGTGGGGGAGGTGTAGAGAGAGAGGGAGACATGGAATCTGAAGCAGGCTCCAGGCTCTGAGCTGTCAGCACAGAGCCTGATGTTGGGCTTGAACTTACGATCTGCGAGATCATGACCTGAGCCAAAGTTGGCGCTTAACTGACTGAGCCACCCAGGAGCCTCTGTCCTTAATAACTTCTAATAGCTAGTGTATACTCAAGTATCCCTGGTCCCAAAAACGTCTTTTTAAAGTTGGTTCATTACAATCTGGATACACATGAAGTGGCATATGTTGTATTAGGAAACATCAACCAAAATTTTCTAGAATCTATAATATCTCTCTTCCCTCCTCCCCTCTCCTTTTTTTTGAGCTATTTGCTTTATTGAAAGCAGATCATTTGTCCTGTAGAATTTTCCATATTTAGGATTTGGCTGATTGCATCCTCAAAGTGTCATTTAATGGGAACTACATTCACATGGCAGGCAAGTATATAACATTTGAACATACAAAATGATCCTCCTGTCTCTGTTCCTCACATACCTAGTGTTCCTCCCTGGGAGTGATGACATCTTATCTCGTGTGTCCTTCCAGAGATATCCTCCTATTTGAATTTAATCACTCTGTCTTCTTTATTCCTATGAAAGATGATAATTGGTTACATGTCTCTCACTTTAGAATAGAGATTCTTGGGGCGCCTGGGTGGCTCAGTTGGTTAAGTGTCCGGCTTCGGCTCAGGTCATGATCTCGCAGTTCGTAAGTTCAAGCCCAACATCAGGCTCTGTGCTGACAGCTCAGAGCCTGGAGCCTGCTTCAGATTCTGTGTCTCCCTCTCTCTCTAACCCTACCCTGCTCGCGCTGTCTCTCTCTCTCTCAGAAATAAATAAAACATTAAAAAAAATTAAAAAAATAGAATAGAGATTCTTTTAGATCAGGGATTGAGTCATTTTATTCTGCATTTTCTACCTCTAGTGATGATGCCTAGGACTGAACTGACTTAATACCTGTTTCGGGCTGTACCCTGCTAGCTCCTTCCTTGGGAGAGGACCTAGAAAGGGCGCTGGGTTTGTATTTGGAAAACTTGAATTTGTGCTCTGTCTTTGGGATAGAAGTCCGATGTCTACTGGGAGGTGTTCTCCCGTGAGGACAGAGACTTGGTCTGTATATCTCCGTGTCTGTAGCACCTACAGCAGGACCTTGGACATAGTAGGTCCTGAATAAATATTTGTTGAGCAAATGAATGAAAAGAATGTTAGTTCATATTGGGATATCTCAAAGCCCTCCATCTCTGGGACTTAATGCCAAACTCCTGCTTTTCCCCCGGCCCTCTTTCTCCATCTAACCAGTGCTCTGGGCCTTGGAGCCCACCAAAGTGACATTCTGCACCTAGGCCAGGCCAGGGCACAGGGGCAAGTGCCCTGCAGAGGAAGCGGGGGATGGGTGATGTGCAGACAGTTGTCCTCATGTGTAAGTCATCTGAAAGGCAGTGGTGCTGCAGCTCCTGGTGAAGTTGATGGCTTCGCAGGTTGTAGGAAGGAAAGTGCAGTGTGATATTTGACAGGAGGTAGCATGTGGTAGCTGGTACTGAGAGCGGGTGCAGGCTGGTCCCCGGGAGTTGTGCCTGGGTAGGGAGCTGGCTGGCACTAAAGAGCATGAGTAAATACTGCAGGGTGTGTTCTTCCTTTGGACGCTTATCTGTTCTCTTCTTCGTGACTGATAAAGGAATGAGTAAAGGGTAAAACATAATTATCTCACCTGTCAAGCCAGTGTCCCCAGGTCCCGGAGTATGCTAGAGCCAAGAGACAGTGACTTAGAGAAGCACTTTCAAGGTTGGTGCTCGGCTGGCTGGTATCTCAGTGACTCAGCCTCACATCAGGAGGGGGTGGGAGTCACAGTGAAGTAGTGTTTTTAGGGGCTTGGTGGCACTTTGCTGGGCAGCTGAGGAGGTGTGATGAAGCCCCGATGCTTTAGAGAGCCAGACTCCCCGTGCCCAAGATGCTTATAAACAGAGACGACAGGTGTGAACTGAGGCAGAAAGGAGTCCACAAGGCAGAAAGAAGTCACGGCTGGTGTGGATGCCCAGACTGGGCTGGAGGAGGCAGGGTTGCCTTGATTCTGACTGAGGTGTTGGGGTATGGTAGACATATGTTCATTTTTTGGTAAGAGCCATTCTTGTTTTGAGGAGTAGCATCCAAAACTTCCTTTGGAGAACCACTCATATTTCAAGTATTTACCATGAGGTTGGAGTGAGGCTCACCCCACCCTCAGCTCCAAGAGGGAGCATGTGACTTAGGCCATCTATAGAGTCCATTCCTCTGGCCCTAGAGATTGATTCGAGGATGGGCACCTGAGCCAGTATTGGTCAGTGAACATCAGGTCCAGGGCTTTTGGGGGTATCTCTCATATGACACTGCCTTTTCTGCTGTATTAGCTATGAGTATAGGATGTTGACTCAGAGCTGCTGGCAGCCATTTTGCCACCATGAGGGGAAAGCCCGTCTGTGAATGGAATCAGTATTGTGGAGAGAAGTAATCATTTGAATCTCTAGATCTTGCTGAGCCTGGAGTAGAATTTCCAGTTATATGTGCCAGGAAATTCTCTTTTGGCTTCAGATGGTTTGAGATCAGTTTTCTGTTATTTGCAATCAAATGAATCTTGATACACTAGGGATTCTTGGAGAAGCATGCTGGATTTTTTTTTAAGCTTATTCATTTATTTTGAGAGAGAGAGAAGTAGGGGAGGGGCAGAGTGAGAGGGGGACAGAGGATCCAGAGTGGGCAGAGAGCTCGATGTGGGGCTGGAACTCATGAACCATGAGATCATGACCTGAGCCAAAAGCAAATGCTTAACCTACTGAGCCACCCAGGCACCCCATAAGAAGCATGCTGGATCTTGAAACACATTTAAGGCTTTGATAGATCACAGGAGAAAGAAATGAAATTCAAAGAAAGAAATGAAATTTAGAAATTCCAAGGCGTGAACAGGGTGAGGAGAGGTTTGCATGGTGCAGAGTAGTATTTGAGCCATTTTGGGTCTGGCTCCTGGTCTGCCACCAAGCACCTCTACTTCCCTATCTGGCCGTGGCCTTTGCCCCAGATGAATTTGTAAGAACAGAGATGAGAAGCTTTATTTAATTAAATACCGTGGATTATTTAATCTAGCCAGAGAGGAGATCAAAGTGCACAAGGTTTGCCTCAGCAGCTCCATATCATTTTAATGATTTCCTATTTTCCTTATTTCTACATTTGTTAATTGGCATTCTTCTGTAGGGAAGAGCCATCCCTTCTCCTTCAGGTAATTAGTTTTTATCACTATGAACTCATGGATATTTATTTTAGTTTACGGGTTCCAATCCAAAGCAATCCTTAATTTATTGTTCAGATTATTCTAATTTTGGTCATTGGGAGCCCTTTCAGGTTGATTCCTGTGTCCTTTTGTATGTCTCTGTTCTTTT